GGGGGGTCCCCTCCAGCGGGTGGTGCCCCAGAGTAGCCAATTAGAGTCACAGAGCCCCAACTTTTCCTACCCATTTTGGCTTGTCTTTTTAATCTCCTTTGAGCTCTCCAAAGAATACATTGATTGGTAGGTGTGAACAGCAGAACAGACTTTGTCTGGATGATGAGGTTACCCCACCCAGCAAGAAATGTTAGAAGATGGTTGGTTATTTGCTGCTGACCAAAGACACTCAGTTGGGAGTTACATGAGCAGCCAATGTTACCCAGACCCATTACTGCATGAGCCAGGGCATTGCCAGCAGATGGAGGGAAGTGATTCTTCCACTCTATTCGGCACTGGGGAGGCCACAAATCTAGAGTCCTGTGTCCAGTTTTGGGTTCCCCACTACAGAAGGGATTGAAGAGAGTCCATGAGAGGGCAATGAAGAGTGTTTGAGGGCTGGAGGACCTGACTTGTAAGGAGAGGCTGAAGGAACTGGGCTTATTTAGTCTCAAGAAGAGAAGACTGACAGGGGATTTAATAGCAGCCTTCGACCCCCTGCAGGGTGGTTGCAAAGAGGATGAAGCTGAACTGTTCTCAGTGGTGGCAGATGACAGAACAAGGAGCAATGGGATCAAGTTGCAGCAAGGAAAGTTTAGGTTAGATATTAGGATGAATTTTCTCACTAGGGGGGTGGTGAAGCACTGCAACATGTTACCCAGAGAGGTGGTAGGAGGGCAGTAAAGCACTGGAACAGGATCCCCAGAGAGGTGGTGGGATCTCCATCCTTGGAGGTTTTGGAGACCTGGGTAGACAAAGCCTTGGCTGGGATGATGCAGTTGGGGCTGGTACTGCTTTAAGCTGGAAGTTGGACTAGATGTGACCTCCTGAGGTCCCTTCCAGCCCTCATTTTCTATGATTACCTCCATGCCAGTGGTCCTCAGTCTTTTTAGGCCTCGCCTCACTAGACCCCAGCCCCCCTGGAAAATGCCAGTTCAGCTTTCTTGACTATGGAAACATCCTAAAAGAATTCTTTTGTTGCAAAGACCTTGACCACATGCAACAGAATGGGTTTGACTCTCTGGAGGTGTTGGCTACAAATGTCCAACACAGGATCCTTAAAATTCTGGTTTATTGGGTGGATTGAAACACTGTAATGAAGTCAAATCATAAACCTTGGGGCTGGTCCCCTCACACGCACACACATGCACACACACAGTAGCGAGCTACAAATGTTGGGGGGGGGGCACCAGAGTTGGGTATACCTATCTCACAAGCACTGGAGTCTGCCATCGATGGTCAGTCGAGGCTTCTTCCAGCGTGGTGTTATCCTCCAGAAGGGGGTCACTGGCTGGTCCTTCTGGCTGGACAGGTCGGGTGCTGGTCAAGTTGGAGATCCAGATGGTGCCGCTGAGGGTCACTTTTCACTGCTTTTATCTGTCCTTGGCTTTGGTGACTCCCCAGTTTTCAGGTTTGCCCAATCCAGGGGTCATTGACCCTCGTGGGACTTCCCCCTCGGTGGCTACTGGATGGCATCTGTCAGCCCCAAGGGTCGTCCACATGTACGTGCAGGTTTGGGAGTCCATTGATGAATTTTGATTAATTTACCGCTGTCATGAATAGGGCTCTGGGAGTGGTCGATCTGGAGATATTCAGCCCCAAAAGTTGGTCCCCGGCATTGATTAACTCAGACCGGGGCTTCTAGCCCTTGAAGAGTAAAGTTTAGAGAATTCCCGGTTGCTACATTGTCTCCTATTAATTTCTTCCGTTGGTTGATCTGCGGTTTCCCTAGGTGTTAATTACCGGTTGTTCCTGAAGCCTGCTACTGTGTTACGCATTCACTCACTGATTCACTCGCTCTTTCAGGGGCCTGCCTGATACAGGGAAGCCTTGTTTGATTCCTGCCCTTGTTAACATTGTTACAGTGTATAACTTACTTCTAAAACTAAAACACATTTAGTTAAAAGGTGAAGAGTATAAAATATAAGCTACAAGAATAATGCCATGGCACACAAATAGATAAAAATACCAAAATACAAGGGGAGATACAAAATGCACACATACAAACTTTAAAACACAATTCCTTATCTTACAGTGAAAGAGAGAGGAAGGAAGAAAAGGTAGAAGAGGAGAAACATATCCAAAGAGGAGAAAGCAAATGCAGGCAAGAGGAAAAGGGGTCTTTCTGCTACAGATGTGTACTGGAAATCTCAGGCTCTATCTGATGAATCACATGGAGGGTTTTGCATACATCAGAGTGCTAAAATTGTGTATCACTCTTAAAATGAACTCTCAGGGAAGTAGTTGAGAATCATGGCTCTTTCCTTATGGAGAACTCCCAGAAAATACCTTCCAGATTAAAAGAAATGAATGCTTCATTACTTGTCCCACAGTCAACAGAGGCAGACAGTGTGTGTTGCATTATCCATGATGGCAACCCACCATGTAGGGGCACAGAACTGGAAAGGAACTCCAAGGACATCAAGTCCAGTCTCTGGCATCTACTGGCTCAAGGGACTTCCTCAATATCACCACTTCCAACCTCACACACCACTTCAGGCCATAGAATCAGAGTGAAGGGCAATGCCAATGCCCTGTCATTATGATGGCATACAAGTCATTGGCTAATCTATAGTCACAGGAGCACACCCCATACTGTAAATGAATCAGAGAAGTGGGGCTGGAAGGGTGCTCCAGAAGTTGCATCTAATCCAAACCCTGCCTGAGGCAGGATCAGCCCTGTCCAACCATCCTGTACAAACCCATCATCTAAATTATTTGTAAAAGTACCATCAACCCTGACACAGCAGCAGAAATCACACCCAACCCTACCACAGGGAAAGTCGGAACAACCAATGTCCTGCTTATGTAAGAGGTTGTTAAAACACACTCAAGAAGAGATCCCAAGAAGAAGGCCAGCTAGAGGAAGCCAAAAGCAATTTGGGCCAACGAGAGGCAAAGCGCTGCTCGACCTGGTACTGGCTACTGGGGATGACCTAGTCGGCGACCTAGTGATCGATGGGAAGCTGGGTGACAGCGACCACGAGCTGATCACCTTCACCATCCGCCGAAAAGCTGGCAAGTCGGTCAGCAACACGGAAGTCCTTGACTTCAGGAAAGCCGACTTTGACAAGCTCAGGAGGCTTGTCAGTGAGGCCCTAAGGGACCGTGACCACAGGGAGAGGGGAGTTCAAGAGGAGTGGTTGCTCCTCAAGGGAGCGATCCTCAATGCACAAACTAAGTCTATTCCATCTCGGAGGAAAGGCAGCAAGAGGGCACAGCAGCCCCCCTGGCTCTCCAGGGACCTAGCAGACCTCCTGAGGCTAAAAAGAAAGGCCTACAAAGGGTGGAGGATGGGAGTCACCTCCAAGGAGGATTATTCTGCACTGGTCCGGTCCTGTAGGGAGCAGACCAGGAAAGCCAAGGCTGCAACTGAACTCCAGCTAGCTTTGAGCATCAAGGACAATAAGAAGTCCTTTTTCAGATATGTGGGGAGCCGGAGGAAAAGCAGAGGCAACATTGGACCCCTGCTGAGCCAGATGGGGCAACTGACAACTGACGC